GCATCGGAGCCAAAATCCAATCGAAGGCGAAAAAGGAGCGATGGAGAGCGGCGGCGCCCAAGAAGTCCCGTCGTCGATGGCTCCGAGGAGCCGAACGACCTTGGGCGACGACAACCCAATCGAAGAAAAGAGAAGAGGGATGGGGGGCGGTGGCGCGGAAGCCGTCTCATCGTCGATGACTCCGTGGGGCCGCGACGATCCAAACGAAGAGAAGATAGGCGGCCCGCAGGCGGTTGCATCGTCGACGGCTCCCCGGCGCAGGGTAGCCTTGGGCGCCGACGGGCGCCCCCTCGACGGCGTCATGCGCGGTGAACTGCTTCGCAACTTGAAGCATGGCGATGGATCCATCTACACAAGCAACAGTTACTGGGCTAGAGTTTATCGTCTCTACGATACCAGCGAGAGTAGGTAGCTCTTTCCATCTCAATTGTTGAATGACCTGAGATAACATCAATCCTAGCTTAGCTTAGCTTAGCTTAGCTCATCTAATCATAGTACTCCATTACAAGAACACAACATTGGCAAAATACCACTAAAATACCCAACTTTAGATTTGTGCCATCAAAAGAGCGCAGCATTTTGCAACTTTCCATCTCTGTTGCCCTCCCTTTAACTAGGGCCATTTTACCTTCTCTAATGATCATGACTGCCATTTCAACTGGATTCAACACACAAGCAATATTTAACTGCAGCCATTCACCCATTCAGTAAAAAGCTGCAGTCATTCAGCATAATAGCAAGATGGTTCCTTATTCTGACATGGTTCACAATAACAGCATCACGGCTGTGGTTGTTAGCATAATAGTAGCATGGTTGCCAAATAGAGATCTGACATAGTTCTGCACAAAAGGCCATTGTTTTACGCCATGGAGATTTGACCATGTACCAACTACCAACTGTTGTTCTGGATAATAATCCTTCGGCTTACTCTCCAGGTGAGATGGATAACATTCTTCTAGTTGTAGGACCCGAGCTTATTGGGGAAAGAGGTGCCATTCTTGTGGTTGTCACACCCTGGCTTGAATAGGCTATTGCAGATAAAGTCTTGTGGTTCTTCGACGGTTCAGCAACATCTGTGGAGGCTTTAGCGCCTTCGGATTTTGTTACTAGGAAGACACAACTTTTGGGGTAGGCAAGGAACAGTTCGTGCATAATGAGGCACAACTCAGCAATTTAGTTCTACCTTAAAAAAAAATTTGGAAGAGTAAGTGGAAGCGCTTGTCCTAATTCAGCTTGAGTAGCCTTCTGCCTTCCCTACTTTGCCTGAAACATATGAAAGGCTCAAACGGAATGCTGTATTTAACGGTGTGATCTTTTGATATTATCAAATAGGGATGTTGTATTATCTTAATAAAATGTCTACTGAGCATTTACGATCACTTGTTTCTGTTGATTAAAAAATATTTAATCGGACAAGATCCATGGATCGTTGTGTTTTATTGGACTGTGTTTCCCTTGTTTGTTTTACTTGGCAATTTATTGAAAGTTAAATTGGATTCATTATTTAGATTCGTTAGTTCTGTAGAATGATATCCCAGTTCCAAGCCTGTTTAAATCAATCATGAACCCACTGTTTTCACACACTGCTGCTTATCCTAGAACGGCCCACATACTCACAAAAGTCACCAGTGGTATGTTTACATAAAAGAATATCTATCCAAGGCACCTTTGGCAACTATTTTTTTTATTTACATTTATTCTTAGTATTTATGTATGTGCTTAGTATTATGGTATCATCCAAATTTTAGGACTGCCGTATTATTATGTTGATATTTGTAATGTTATCATATTTATGTTTTGGTTCTAACATTATAGTTTTAGACAACATTAGGTCTCATATGTGTGAGTACAAAAATCAAGGTTTCAAGTCTTTGCTTGTATCAATCTATTTTGTCAATTTTCAGTTGAAAGTTACAGGTTAATAAGTTTAATTACCTAGTGACTCATTTCTATTGTTTTCTATCAGCTTGTCTGGAGTCAATGATGATGACGGTGCCTTATGACAGTTGCATGCCTAACTGGAGGGTTTGTAAAAGGCATGCCTATCGCACCATGATGCAGATATTCTCGCTGAAGCTAGCTTACACTTCTTCATATGTTGGTGGCCCAGTTCAGTTGTATGGATACGTGGCTGTCAGAGATCTGTTGAACCCTATGCGAAATTACGTCTTCAACCGTACAAGAAATGATCCTTTGGTGGTCGAGCATGATGGCTTTATACAAATGTCTGGCCCCAAGAGAGGCATCAGAATGCAAGCTCCCGTGCTGATAGAGTTCAATCTGAAGATTAAGACAGGAGGAGAAGAAGAAGGTGATGATCAACAGGTCATTGATGGTGTTGCCATATTCGGCGACAGAATCTCAGGGCATGCCAGGGTAAACACGCAGCGAATGGATGGTGATGGTGGCTCAGTGGACATAAAGTTTGCAGTTCTGGAACGTGCCTCGGAGGCCACTGTACAGGTTGGGATATCAGAAATTGAGAAGGGCAGTTGCTTAAGCTTGTGTTTGGCAGGATCTTACACTAGCCCATCTTATGTTTCACATGGGAAAATTCAGCTGTTTGATGGGGTTATCACTGCGGAGGCATCCGAGCTAAGCAGGGCCGTGGTTGCTGTGGCGCGAGATAGTAAGCTGGTTGTAAAACTGAAGCTTAGTCAGAAGGGTGGGTTGGACATCCATCGATGCACTATCTTCCCGGTTGAAAAGCATGGAAGTCAGTCCTTCATTTTCAATCTTGGTGTGGCCACTGTGGAGGTGATGGTAACTTGGTCAACAATGGATATTCCCCAAAGTCTTCTTGGGCCTAATTGCTTTGCGCATGAGTTCATGGCATCTGAGGGCGTTGAGTATGTCGATGAATAATTGCAGTGGTAAGATAAATGGCAGTTCTAACCCACTTTCTGATGTCTAATACCATAATGTCAATCTGGACTGTGTACTTAATGGCATATTTGGATTCTCTGAAACCTACCTGTACGTATGTGAAATAGCACTAGTTTGCGGTCCTAAAACTGAGTACATTGAGTTTTAAAACTAAAGCAACATTGACACTATTCACATCTGAATTTGTCTTTTTTGTTTCTCAATGTGCATTTTGAGTTTGGAGCTGAAATTTTTAGGGGTTGTAGTCATATTCTTTTTGAACATTCAGAAATTTTTTCATAATTTTTTTTGAAATGTTTAAAAATATATATTTTTGTCATTGGAGCACTGGGAGTACCCTAGGCTGGGAGCACCTGATTCTTTCCCATACCTGCACCTGGGGTTGTTTGTGGAATCCGTGAGTCAATGAGACTCGGCAATAATATTGCCAAGGGTACTAAGACTAACATCACTTTGTGGGTAGGAGTTAAGTGGCGAGGTTGTAGCAAGCAGCTAAGCAGGTTTTCTCGCTCGGCGTTGTTCACTCAGTCGCTCGCTCGTTCTATGGATTGTTTTTCTCTTTCTTGTAAAATGGTTGCACTAGTACGGGTTTTTTCTTTCAAATTTTCTTCTTTCTTTCTTGGGTTCCTGCTGTTTTTTCACCGGTTTTCTTTTCTCTCATTGTTATAAATTTGGTTTTCCTTTTTATTGGTTTTCTTTTGTTTTTCTTTCTTTCTTTGTTATACTTTGGTTTCCTTTGTTTTCTTTCTTTGTTTTCTTTGCCTTTTCCTTTTTGTTTCTTTGTTTCTTTGTCGATTTTCATTGGTTTTCTTTTCTGTTCAACATATGTTAACTTTTTAGTACATACCCCCTCCATTCGGTATTACTTATCGAAGAAACTAATGTATCTAGACGTATTATCCATTTCTGGGACAAGCAATTCCGGATGGAGAGAGTATTCAACACTTTTCATATACATTAGAATCATTTTTATACAAATGCTAAATATTTCTGAAATAAATGATTTTTAAAACTTAGTTTTTTATGTTTACTTTTTTTATACACATTGTAAATTTTGGTATATATGTAATATATTTTTATAATACATTCTTAACTTTTTTTTTGAGAATCAACATTTTTTGTGTACATGGTCAATTTTAACATTTTGTGTACATTTTTTTTGGGAGGTAACATTTTGTGTACATGGTTAATATCGCATCCCGCGCGGCTGGGTCGGCCCATGTCGCGATAGCAGCGCCCTTCTCTTTCTCTTTCTCCTCTCAAAGAAAAAGCAGCGCCCTTCTCTGAAGTAAAATCCCGCTCCCAAACAAAAGAAATTCCCCTCCACCTGTTCGTCCACCTCGAGCCGCCGTCCCCCTCCCCTCCACGAAAAACGAAGCTCCCCGTCGGATAGTTGCTCTCCCGGCGCCCGGCGGCCGGGCCTGCCCCCAAATCGAAGTCCGGCTGCCCGCTGCTTCATCCTCTTGGAGAGGATGGACGGCGACCTGACGGAGGGGCTCCTCTGCAAGAACTCCGGCAAGCGCCCGGAGTCCCCCCCTCCGCTGTCGCCGTCTTCGGGGGACATTTTCAAGGACCCTACCGACTCCAGCGACTCCAGCACCAGCGGGGCCGCGACGAACCGGGCGCCCGTCCGCGACGACTGCAAGAACCACCAAGAAGTGGTGGTGGCGTCCTCTGCGGCCAGCGAAGGCGAGCACGGGACGGTATCTACCGGCGAGGAAGAGGATAAGGAGGCGTCGGGACCCCTTGCTCGCTGGGAAGCCCTGGCGGCATCCGCTGCTCTCCGGGAGGCGGCGGCGGCGGCGGCGGCATCTCGCCGGGAGGCGGGGAGGGGCTTCTTTTTCGGCGGGGGGAGAGCAGGAGGTGGCTCGAGCGGCGGGGCCGTTTCGAGCAGGGCTGAGCACCTGATCCTCGTCCCTCCGCCGGGAGCGGCGGGTCTGATCCACCGCGCCGATCACCTGTCCGACTCCTGGAGGACGGACCCCATCCTCGCCGGCCCTTCGACCGACCTGACGGTCGCGCTGCAGGCGTTCGCCGCCGCACCAGATGAGAGAACAGCGGCCAGGCTCGAGCAGGCGGCTGCGGCGTTGGACATTGTTGCATCAAGCAACACGGAGGATGGTGCTGTCGCCAAGCAGCTGGCCGCCGAAGCGGCGGCACTTGCGGCCGGCTGGCGGGGAGACGACCGGCAGCGGCAGGGGTCGAGCGCCTTCGAAACGGCGGCCGGTCGGCGGGAACCGGAGCTGCAGGCGCCAGCGTCCTATTCCACTGAAACTTTGTTGTGCGCCGTGATCTCTGGCTCATTGGCCCTGCTTCCATATTTGCCCACCCAAGTCCCCAAGCGTTCCCGGAGTGTCTTTGCCGTTCTCTTTGGCAGCGTCTTCGTACTCGCTTCAGTCGGTGTGATGCTCCTCGTCGCACACAAGAGGTTTGCCAACACTCTGGCGAGAATCTCTTTTGGAACATTTACAGTGTTGGTTATCGCCTTTGTTGGGTTCGCCCTCGGAGGAAGGACATACAGTTGATATTGATAGGGAGTACTATGTAGTACTCCCTCCGTTCCCAAATACTTGTCTTTCTAGTCATTTCAAATGGACTCAACATACGGATGTATGTAGACATATTTTAAAGTATAGATTCACTCATTTTGGGCCGTATGTAGTCACTTGTTGAAATCTCTAGAAAGACAAGTATTTAGGAACGGAGGGAGTACGTATCATAGATAGATACTGGTCACTCTGAATTTGAAGTACCATGCCAGACTTTTGAGAAATGCCATATCACAGATATTGGCGTGTATGACAAGTTTTGAGGAATGTCATATCATAGTTTTGTTTTCCGGCAGTAATATCAAGTTGGAGGAGTCTGTTATTCTGTATTGCGTGTTCACAAAATTCTTGCCTTCTTGATCTTAACTTCAGTTAAGCATCGAAGGTGTTTGCTTCTCTCCATTTTTTGTTGGGAGATTCTGGTGTAAAGCTACTTTGGTTTCGTTATGAATGGAGCTGGGAGTGTCGGCATGCCAACAACGGATGATGTTAAAACGGTGTTTTACCTTGGAATTTGACAAATTGGTTTTCCTTTCATTTTGCTTTGTTGACCTACGGTTACCTCGAGCCTGGAGCAATAAGTTTAACCCATACAAGTTATTTATTTCTTATATTATAGTCCCAACGCCGAGGTTCCATTGTTTGTGTGTGGTTCATCTTACATTTTAGTTTGAACTAAAACACGACGAGTAATTTGAAACGGAGGGGTTAGCTTTTTATTTACATTCAATCTACAGATATGGAAAATCTAAAGTAAAAATTTTTGTACCTGGCTTGCAGAAATTTCATTCAGCTGCAGATAATAACTCCTGATCCTGGGATAACAATGACACATTACATTATAGTATTATTTAGAAGAACTCCTTAGTAAGATCTGTGAAGTTCTTTCTATGAATATTTTTCCCGAAAATCACGCAAATCGCCAAAAATATTCTGGTGGTGCATTGGTGTACTCCAAATAGAAAATGTAACGGGTACGCATGCACCATCCATAATCAGTACTCCTTGTGTTTCTTTTTTTTACTTTGCATACAAGTTTGTTAAGTCAAACTTTATACAGTTTATTAATCAAAATTACAGGAAAAATACGAAGATTTATAATATCAAATCAATATCATTAGATGCATCATAAAAATTAAATTTCATATCATATATCTTTAGTATTATAAACGTTGATATATATTTTAATATAAACTTGGTCAAACTTTACCCACTTTGATGGAAAATCTTACATGGGGAGTAAAAGGAAATGGGGGAGTATGATTTTTTTTTCGAAAAGAAGGATAACCCCCGGCTTCTGCATCGAGCGATGTACACATCCATATATTATTAATTATTCAGAATCTAACAGTCGAACTATCGGCCCGAAAAAAAAAGACAAAAATAAAACCAGAAGTCGCATGCCTCGCAATAGTAACTCCACCAAACAACAACTAACCTATAATAAAAAACAAACTCGAAATGAAAAAATATACAACTCCTGGGCTACGCCTTTAAGAAGGAATCATCGCACGTGCGCCGACGATGATGAGTCCAACCCAAGGTTGATCTCAGGATTCTCATCCCCAAAGCCGAGCTTAGGTCCATCACCTGCAGCAAGGAACCAAGCAGGTGCCCGTCGAATAGCCATATCAGAGATCTTGTGTTTCCACTGAAGTGCATAAACTCGTCGTTGAAGACGCCTCTACCGTCATCCCCTGTCCGGCTACTGACGCCTCGATAACTGGATACCTTTGGAGAAGATTCTGGAACACAAAGACGTCCCATACCGCCTCGCCTCCCGTCACTGTCGCACCACCTTCATCCAACAGTGACAGGCTAAACATCACACCTTCGCCAAAGTCACTATGCTGTACCTGCCAACAGTAGGCATGACTTGACAACTCCGCATGAGCCGCCGTGCGTAGCATTCTCTAGCGACGCACTCGTCGACGGCTTCACCTGCCAATGATAACCATTGCATGTCGCCTCCGAAAGAGACTCATGTGTCACATGTCGAGCCACATCGAACCCATCTATTGATAGAGGGGACGTCTCATACCGCAGCCAGCCTCAGAAAGATCGCCACCACCAGGAGATCCAGCCTCTGAGTCGCCCACATGACCACAAAAATCGACCAAAATTGAAGGATAAGGGTTGCCACCCTGATTTTGTGCGCTTCAAGAGCACCCACCACTACTAGGAGAAATCCTACTAGCAACGATGGAAATACCTATAGCAGTAGCGCTGGGTCCAGCATGATACGTCTCCAACACATCTATAATTTTTTATTGTTCCATACTATTATATTATCTGTTTTGGATGTTTTATATGCATTAATATGCTATTTTATATTATTTTTTGGACTAACCTATTAACCTAGAGCCCACTGCTCGTTTTTGTTTTTTGCCTGTTTTAGAGTTTCACAGAAAAGGAATACCAAATGGAGTCCAAACGGAATAAAACTTTCGTGATGATCTTTCTTGGACCAGAAGCAAACCAGGAGACTTGGAGATGAAGTTGGAGAAGCAACGAGGCGACCACGAGGGTGGAGGGCGCGCCCCCCTACCTCATGGGCCCCTCGGAGGTCTCCTGACCTAATTCTTTCGCCATATATACTATTATACCCCATAACCATCAGGGGGAGCCACGAAAACACTTTTCCACCACCGCACCCTTCTGTACTCGTGTGATCCCATCTAGGGGCCTTTTCTGGCGTCCTGCCAGAGGGGGATTCGATCATGGAGGGCTTCTACATCAACATCATTGCCCTTCCGATGAAGCGTGAGTAGTTTACCTCAGACCTACGGGTCCATAGCTAGTAGCTAGATGGTTTATTCTCTCTCTTTGATTCTCAATACCATGTTCTCCTCGATGTTCTTGGAGATCTATTCGATGTAATATTCTTTTGCGGTGTGTTTGCCGAGATCCGATGAATTGTGGATTTATGATCAGATTATCTATGAATATTATTTGAGTCTTCTCTGAATTCTTATATGCATGATTTGATATCTTTGCAAGTCTCTTCGAATTATCGGTTTAGTTTGGCCTACTAGATTGGTTTTTCTTGCAATGGGAGAAGTGCTTAGCTTTGGGTTCAATCTTGCGGTGTCCTTTCCCAGTGACGGTAGGGGAAGCAAGGCACGTATTGTATTGTTGCCATCGAGGATAAAAAGATGGGGTTTTCATCATATTGCTTGAGTTAATTCCTCTACATCATGTCATCTTACTTAATGCGTTCCTCTGTTCTTTATGAACTTAATACTCTAGATGCAGGCAGGAGTCGGTCGATGTGTGGTGTAATAGTAGTAGATGCAGAATCATTTCGGTCTACATGACACGGACATGATGCCTATGTTCATGATCATTGCCTCAGATGTCGTCATAATTATGCGCTCTTCTATCAATTGCTCGACAGTATTTTGTTCACCCACCATATTATTTGCTATCTTGAGAGAAGCCACTAATGAAACCTATGGCCCCGAGTCTCTTTTCCATCATATAAGTTCTATTTTCCATCATACTAGTTTCTAATCTACTATTCTGTAATCTTTTACTTTCTGATCTATAAACCAAAAATACCAAAAATGTTACTTTACCGTTTATCTATCTCTATCATATATCACTTTTGCAAGTAACCGTGAAGGGATTGACAACCCCTTTATCACGTTGGGTGCAAGTTTGTTGATTGTTTGTGCATGTATTCAGTGACTTGTGTGTTGTCTCCTACTCGATTGATACCTTGGTTCTCAAACTGGGGGAAATACTTACTATACTTTGCTGCATCACCCTTTCCTCTTCAAGGGAAAAACCAACGCAAGCTCAAGTAGTAACAGGAAGAATTTCTGGCACCGTTGCCAGGGATATTTACGCCAAGTCAAGTCAAGATTTGTCTCCCGTCAACTTGCCAATTTATGGCGCCGTTGCCGGGGAGATCTACGCCAAGGCAAGACATACCAAGTACCCATCATAAACTCTCATCTCTTGCATTACATTATTCGCCATTGGCCTCTTGTTTTCCTCTCCCCCACCTCTAAAACGATTTTTTGAAAAGATTTGCCTTTTTCTTTGCCCCTCTTCTATTCATCTTCTTGGCTTGCTTTTTGTGTGCTCGTTTGTCAGATTGGTTTGTTGCCACCATATCTGAAATTGGGGAGGTTATTGTTGAAAAGGGATAGTAGTAATGATGGGGGGAACTTTGATGCTTTTGCTAATACTAATCCTTATGAGGAATCTACTATTTTGCACACTAAAAAACTTCGCATTGGTAGCGACAATATTATTGGAAAAGGGGTTATTCAAGATTTCTTTACTTGCGCCGGTGCGTTACCCACGATGGGTGGATATATTCTCCATAAAACTAGTAGTCTTGCGGATGCTATATCTTTGCTCGTTGTTGAACTTGAAAGACAATTCGTTCACATGCATCCATCCATACAAAGGATTTTTCTAGAATTTTCCAAAATTGAGCATTCTTCTGTTAAGCGCACAGCTACCATCTTTCTAGCACATGAGTTTACATTTATAATAAAAGAAGCTAGTGAAAATTTTGCACATTATAGGGTAGACGGTAGTCGTCCTCCCATAGAGGCAATTCTCTTTAACCAAGAAGACATAATGCGTTTACGATCCCTAGATCATGTTGCTTATAATGAAAATTTAAGAAAGAGGGTCCCTACCTATCATGGAATTGCCACGTCAGATGTCCTAGTGAAAGGACTTAGTCGTGGAGCCATCACAACTAGGAAGCTTAAAGGGGTTAATCGGGACAAAGGACACAGGGTTTATACTGGTTCGGCCCCTTACGGTGAAGGTAAAAGCCTACGATCCAGTTTTGAGTGGGATTGCTTATGTCTCGATTACCAGGGAGTGAATCCGCTTGACCTAGTTCTCGATCTGATCTTACTAGTCCTAAATCGCTGCCGGGTCGTCCCTTTATATACAGAGGTCAATGCCCAGCGGCTCACAGAGTCCTAGCCGGCTCATAAACAGTGTCC